CGCCCCGCCCCCGGACGGAATATTTGGCAACCCTGTCAGAGAGTCCAGTAGACGTGAGAGCGCGTAGAGACAAGAACGCAGAGCCGACTCAGGAAATGTTGTTTGGGTTTGGGAAACGCATCTGAAATCGCCCTGCAACGTTTTGGAAAACCGGTTTATCACAATGTCGAAGGAATGCGTAGTCCACTTTGGTGTGTTTTACGCATTACTGTTTCCAGTCATTGGTTTTGGTGAGTATCGCTGAAGCCTCTCGCGCTAACTAACAGTGGCACATCGTTGTATTGTATCGTTGTTTCAGTTTATCCGTCCGATTGTGTCTAAATAGTATATTGTTATAAAATCGCTCCTTTTGCATTATTTAAATGCGTGGATCGTTTCTGATAGCAGGTTTGGGTTCCCAGGTACAATTCTGGAAATATAAGCACGTTTTACAATTATGAGATTCCTGCCTGGAAATTACTCAAATCTTAAAGTTATCTCTATAGAGAATGTGCTATTATATTAATGTAGGCTATTTTACCTTCTAGTCCAGGGATGTCCAAACTCGGTCCTGGAGGGCCGGTGTCCTGCAGAGTTTAGCTCCAACTTGCCTCAACACACCTGACTGGAAGTTTCTAGTATGCCTAGTACGAGCTTGATTAGCTGGTTCAGGTGTGTTTAATTAGGGTTGGAGCTAAACTCTGCAGGACACCGGCTCTCCAGGACCGAGTTTGGACAGCCCTGTTCTAGTCTGTTTTTTGAGTTCAATCTATAATTACTTAAATTTGTTCTGATTTCTTTGTTTAAAAACACTTATTTAGAGAACTCGTAGCAGCGAGCCTGTAAGTTTTTGACTGTTTGCTAATATTTAAAGGTTCCCCTTCATTGGCATAAGAGCAGTGGCCACTCGTGGATATTAAAATAGAGGAGGCACACTAAATTGTAGCTGTACCTGACCATGATTTTGTTGTTGTGTATTTTTTCTTAACTGCAGTGCTTAATTAAAGCTTTCTTTTGTTCACGTTTATGTACGAAAATGTATACTTATACAACAAGACAATATAAAATTTCACTCACCTATTATTACATGAGGGAAAAAATCCACCCTCCTGACCTTTTTAGTAGCAAATGTGAATACGACTTCTTCAGTTCATTAATTAAGGCTTGCTGCTTTATGGAAACTCATAGCCTCGCTCATTTTTCACTGCAAACTGTAAAACTGTGTGAAAACGTCACTGATCACACGTGGTTACAGTTGCAAATCAGTGTGGCCTTAAACCTTGTTTGTCAGTGTTCATGGAGGTGTTACTCTGTCACTCTCGGGTTGAAATCAAAATAGTAATCAAGCAAAACAAACAGCAAACAAAGCAATGGCTTCCAGTGGATTATTGCTATTATAAAACCCCTGCACCCAGGACAGGCACGACAGAGCCCTGATCAAAAGACAATAATGGAGAGTAACAAAATAAAATGGGACAAATGAGCAAAGTTGGCATGTGATCTCAGTTCTATATATAATTTTTGGTTATATTATTTATTTTTTTACAAAAGCACAATGTTTTGTTGATATTGTTTTTTATTTTTTTTTCTGCGACTAACGGACTAATAAAATTTTGGTCAACCAAGCTTTTCATATATATATATATATATGCACATGCAGAGGGGGGTGCTTTGGGGGCTCAAGCCCCTGCCCTTTTTCCCAGATTAACCTCCTGGGGTCGACAGTGGCGCCGGCCACTTGCAGATTTTAATGATAACAGCAAAAAGAACTTAAAATGCTCCTTCATACTTGATCGTACATATAAGAGTAATACAGCATTTAAAACTATAAAGGGTCTGCTTTTATTTGTGTACACTCACAATATCAACAAAACATTGTGCTTTTGCAAAATAAAGAAAATAATCAGGGTGTGCTTTTAGCCGTCTCATTCGCCGCACATATCTGTTTGAAACGCGTCACTAAAATGAACTGAAACTCAGCGAATATTTGACACACACACATGAGAGATATATCTATAGAAAGCTTGACATGTCTACTTTTAAACAAAGTAAGTCATGTCGAAAACAAATAGTGGCTGTTCTGTAGGCAAGCACCAATGTCTTGAACTTGATGAGAGCCGCGATTGGAAGCCAGTGCAGAGAGATGAGAAGCGGTGTGACATGGGAAAGGAGCAAAGAAATATTAAAAAATGTTTATACACAGTTTGAGCAGCAAGATGTGTTCAGTTTTAACTCTTTCTTCCATTTTGTATCTTTGGGTTAGCATAAGAGGCACTTCATCCGGTACTCAGTCTCTTTCATTCCAACATAAGAAAACATTTCTGGAATCTGCATCTGAAGTGGCATTTAGATAATGTAGCTCAGAGGGGACATGGATGCATTTAGCCTGCAGTTACAAATGCATAATGCTTTGTTTTAAACAAAACGTTGAATACTGATATTCGAAATGATTTAAAACATGAAAAAATAGTTGAAATGTGAAATTAAAACCGCCATGTGGCAGTCAAGTCAACCAATTCATTCAAACGGCTGATTCATTCAGGAACGAAGCATTTGATTGTTAGTGAGTTACTGAATCATTCATTCAACCGATTCGTTCAAAAAGCTGATTCATTCAATAAGGAAACACCGTCCTGTGTGTTGCTCAGAGACACAAAACTGTGGAATTTGGAATTTATTTGGAGCTATTTTCATTGGCAAAACAGACAATATTGTGTCTAAAATGTCACTTGATAACTTTATTAAACTTGTATAAAATCAATATTACATTTGCTATGCTGATATCTGGAGAGAAAAAAACAGCACTCTTTGTATGATATAGATTAACTATATTAAATTATATAAATATAAAAGACATGCAGAGGCATTTTTACCGCCAATTTAGAATGCCTTGAATTTGATGATTCTAAATGCATTTTAATATACTAAATCATGTAGTGTATGCATGCACACTCTGATTTACTCAATAATGTCAGATCGCACATTGTTAAAACAACACTTACCATATTATCTCAGATGATATACTGTATATCGCACATCCCAACCTGCACTTGAGTGGAAAATGAAATCATCCCTGGTTGTGCGAGCACTTTGCACATGAGCAAAGGTGTTTTTAGGAGTCTTAACTTGCAAACGCCAGACCACTGATTTGTCAAACCTGCTTTCTTGCAGTCTGTGACTTTATTTTGTAGTAAGTAACGAAAATGCTTCGGGGAAATGTATCGGAGTTTACATTTCAATTAGGAAATGTAGTGGAGTAAAACTCAAGTAAAGTACAGATTCTCACAAAAAATACTTAAGTACTGTAACAAAGTATTATTACTTTGTTACATTACACCACTGGAGCTACATGTCATCAGCATAGCACAATGGCAGAAAAAAACATGTGCCTGCATGATGGGTCCCAGTGATGTAGTGTATATAGAGAAGAGCAACTCTGAAGGACGTACCTGTGAGGTAAGACTCAAACCAGTGGAGTGCAGTTCCGGTGATGCCCAGTGAAGAGAGGGTGGACAGAAGGATTTGATGATTAACAGTGTCGAAAGCAGCAGATAAATCTAGCAGAATGAGAACTGGTGATTTGGACTCAGCTCTTGCCCTTTGTAGTGATTCAGTGACTGACAGTAAGGAGGTTTCAGTTGAATGGCCACTTTTAAAACCAGAATGGTTATTGTCCAGCTGGTTGTTCGGTGAAAGGAAGGAAAGCGTTTGAGTGATTTTGCTATGAAAAAGGAGGATAGAGACAGGTCTGTAGCTTTCCACAAGTGAGGTGTCTAGTGTAGGTTTTTTTGTGCAGTGGGGTTACCCGATGCGGTGGGAAAAATGCCAATGAGATGTGCTGCTAATGATGTGTGAGTGAAGGCGGAAGTGCAGGAGAAATAACTTGTAGAAGATGTGAGGGGGTGGGTCTAAAGGACAGGTGGTAGGGTGGCTGGAGAGAATAAGTTTGGAGACTTCTTCCTCCGCAAGAGAAGAGAAGGAGGTCAGCTGTGTGAGTGTTGGATGTGAGTTTCTGTGTGTGTGTGTGTGTGTGGAGCTCAGAACTGACTGCTGATGGAAGTCGTTTTGTTTGTGAAGAAATTATAAAAATCGTCAGCTGTTAAAGAGGTAGTGGGAGGTGGCAGAGGGGGACAGATGAGATTTTGCGTGTGTCTGACGTGCTGTTGATCTTGTTGTGGAAGAAGGAAGTTCTGGCAGCGTGAACCTTGGTGGAAAACGAGGATAGCAGTGACTGATACCTACTAAGATCAGCTGAATCTTTTTGTTCCATTTTTCTCTCCGCTGCCCTGAGTTTAGTCCAGTGCTCGCGGAGGACGTTGAAGGGAATAGCATGCACTGCTCTGGAGGAAAGAGGACAGATATTGTCTAGGCAGGTGTAGGTGTGGGAAGAGAGGATGATACCACAGAGGAAAGTTAAGAAGGAAAAAGAGACTTTTTTTTTTTTGTCAAAATGGAACTGGCAGAGGGATAGGCAGTGGTGTGAAGGATGGTAGATGTAGATTAAAAGTGATAATGAAATGATCCGAGATGTGTAAAGCTTTAACCAAGATGTTATCTGTGATACAATTGCATGTAAAGATGAGGTTAAGCTGGTTACCTGATTTATGAGTACTTGTGGTGCTGAGCCGCCAAAGATCGAAAGAGGCTAGGATATTCATAGTGGAGATCAAAATTACCTGGATTACTCCTGGACCACAAGTGTGGACATCGCACGACCCAGAGAACTCGCTGTGACCTTCGTCGCTCGGAGCATGAGGTCAGTAGCAGTTCGGAGCTCTTTCAGAACTTCCGAATCGTGACCACCCTGGTGCAGGTCCTTCAGTGCCTTGGCCTGATGAGCCTGCAGTAACGCCATTTACAGGCCTGGGAGGGGAGCGACGGGTTTCCCCACCAGGAGGAGGCGGTCTTAGGACACAACTGCATCGCTACTGACCACTCAACCGGGGGATCGCCGTATACCCCTTAGCTGCACCCCCGTCGAGGGTGGTGAGGGAGGAGGAACCAGCAGGTCGGTTTCTGGCAGTAAAAGGTGCCGTCCATTACCTGGTGAGCTCCTCATACACCTCTGGGAAGAAAGGCACCGGGGCGGGGCGCTGAGAACCAGCGCAAGCCACCCCGAGAAACCAATCATCCTACCTCGAGGGCTCAGGACACGGTGGAGGTTTCCACTCGAGCCCTTACCCTCTCAGCGGCCCGTAAAGAAACGACTAAAAACACATCTGTTCCACCTTTATTTGACCCTCTAACTATAGCACTTTCTATTCTATTTTAATTCTACTTTATCTAAATTTATCATCTTTTTTTAATTTAAAAACAAAATAAAAAAACAAACACTAGCTTTCTATTTTTTCTATTCTATCCCTTAGCTGCACCCCCGTCGAGGGTGGTGAGGGAGGAGGAACCAGCAGGTCGGTTTCTGGCAGTAAAAGGTGCCGTCCATTACCTGGTGAGCTCCTCATACACCTCTGGGAAGAAAGGCACCGGGGCGGGGCGCTGAGAACCAGCGCAAGCCACCCCGAGAAACCAATCATCCTACCTCGAGGGCTCAGGACACGGTGGAGGTTTCCACTCGAGCCCTTACCCTCTCAGCGGCCCGGGAAAGCATAGCCGACATGTCCAAAATGCTGCTGCAAGATTAATCTTTAATGAGCCGAAAAGAACGCATGTCACACCTCTGTTCATCAATTTGCACTGGCTACCAGTAGCTGCTCGCATTAAATTCAAGGCATTAATGTTTGCCTACAAAACCACCACTGGCTCTGCACCCATTTACCTAAATTCATTACTTCAGAGTTATGTACCCTCTAGAAGCTTGCGTTCTGCAAGTGAACGACGCATTA